AACAGCTGAAATCTTAATCTCATTGTAGAGTTTCTCACTAATTTCATCAGTATCATCTGGTGGTTTGTAATAAATTCCCACTAAATGCCTTTTTCCGTTATATCCACTAATAGAAACCCAAATGGATTCAATCTCCTTGCTATTATCCTTGATATCCTCAACTTCAACAGGATATAACCCACATTTTACATATAAAGCCACTCCTCCCCCTCTCTTTAGAACTTCATCCCTATTAATTAACCTATAACCTTTTGCTCATTTTGATTTACATTAATGACATAGATGAAAGAATAGTCCATAAATTACTTAAATTTGCAGATGATATTAAGGTATTGGGTGTTGCTAGCCATGAAGAGGATGCTGCTGCTTTACAAAAAGGATTTAGATCATTTAGTGAGTTGGGCAAATAAATGGCAGATGGGTTTTCATTATAATAAATGCAAGATAATGCATGTGGGTTGCCATAATTTGAATCATAAGTATAATTTGAATGGGAATATCCTTAACAGTGTTATGGAAGAAAAAGATCTTGGTTTAGTGGTTGACCAGTCTCTTAAACCATCCAAGCAGCTAAGACAGTTTTATTTTTCTATAAGGGTGGTTGGCCTTTTGAATGGATTGTTTTCTGAATTTGTGGAGGCAGTAAATTTAAGTGAGATACCTTGTTGTCCCAAAACATTATGTTATATATGGTATATTACACATTAAAACCTATAATGATTAGAATGTATTGAATCATCACTTGGATATGTTCTCTTAATGATATTTTTGGCTGAAATCCCATTATGTCATAAAGTTCAGTTAGTTTGGGATATTTAGATTACTAGACAGTCCTAAGGGAATGAACTTTAGGAAAACTCTGCATCAGACTAAGTGTAATGATTTAGATAATGTTCTCATGGAATGTATTAGGTAGTGGCATAGTGAAAAGGTGCCTCTCTGGAAATATGGTGATAGAGCAGGCCAAAATATTTCCTGAGGAAATGAATCTGGAAACTGGAGCTAACTAAAATACAGGCTGGCTGGCAAAATTTAAGATCTGATATGGCATACTATTCTTCAAAGTGTGTGAGGACTGTGCATCAGCAAATCATGAGGCAGCTCAAAGTTACGTAGATGAATTAGCAAAGTTAATAAGTGATGAGATTCTCACAAGTGACCAAGTCATAAATAGCAGAAGATCCCAGCTCATAATCCTCACACAGTTTCTGCAAAGACGTACCTGCCTCCAACTTCTTCAACAGTTCCACCTTATTTGCAATGGTTAATGAGTAATGTTTCCTCTTCACAGACTTCTTGGAACCCATTCAACTCTCATCTGACCTTTTTGACATGATTACTAGGGCTATGAATACCAAAAATATGGCAGAAAAGACAGGGATAGAGTGGAAGATAACGAAGCATGGTTCATGACCAAAACAAAGCACTAAACCAACAACTAGTCTGGCGTATCACCAGACAAACTGGCACACTATTAAAAATTTGATTTTATAGGAAATTTTAGAAAAGACTGCCAGTTTTTGGAGAGTCATGGTTTTTAGGTCATTGGTTTTGAGAGAATCAACTTGTATAACAAAGATTAAACTTTTGGCATTATAATGAAAATTTAGAGTAATTAGGTGTAATGTACTGAATTAACATACTGTGTCACATCACATTCAGCTTTTGGAACAAAACATAATGTAGTGAGCTTATGAGCTTGAGGAAAATATTTAAAGGATATTTTTAAGCAACTACTCGGAAGTATTCTATATTTTGTTAGAATTGGTGAATTACATTACTTTATTCAATAACTTCAATACTTTATAATAGATTTCTAAAATATATTTGAAAGCATAGATTAAAAATATGAATTGAAATAGTTCAGAAAAAAAAAGAACCATTTCAAAAATGCTTGGTTAGATTTAACATTAAGTTATAAAATTAGGTATAATCATATAACCTTGTTAGTAAGAAAAGCTTCTTGAATTTGATTTTGCATTTGGCAGCTGTTCTCCAGTGGTCTGAATCAGAGAGGAAAGACTGATGAGGATGGAATTCTTGGATTTTTTCCCAGTGATATTTTACGAGAAGTACGAAGGGGAAAGAGACTGGTATTGTAACCATCATAAATCTGTTTCCTTCAAAACATATAATTGCTGTTATTCTGTGACGATGTTATATGGAAAAATCTCAAAATCCTCCATGCTAAAATTTCTATATTATTTAAACTAACTGACGTTGTTAGAATGATTCTCATTATAGCTAATGAATCTGATGTGTGTATGATGTATAACGAGTACTGTTCATCATATGTTTTTATAATATAAACTATTTAATATAATATAAACTATAATATAAATTAAAATCAGATAGACTTAACTCTGAAATACTGAAAGGCTTTCCTTGTTGAGTTTTTCATGCTGTCGATAACCATGTGACTCAAAGTTCTGAATAACTTTAAAGCAATACAGAGTATGTGTCACTTACCCAAAGTTCTCCTCTCTCTCACCTTCCATGTGACTTTTGGCTTTATGTATTTTCTGTTTAGTAGTATAGTTTTTTACTGATTTTTTTCCTTTCCCCCAACATCAACTTTTACATGAATGTCTGGCTTATTCTGAGCCTCTCATCCATTTAGTCTCTGACACACATATACCCAGTTAGCTACATGTTTTGGGTTGTTCATCTGTAACTCCATTTCTCATTTAGTACAAACTCAGTATTTGGTACATCTGGGATCTTGGATTAACACAGTTCAAGGAACATTACAACCACTTCCTCTTCTTCATATTGTTCTGTCTTTCACACCTACTCTCAAAGGCATCCTTTCTACTTTTTGGATGATGGTTTCACTTCACAAACTCATTCCCTTGGGGCTTTGCTTGCATGCAACACCTCCAATAGTATCTTGTTTCTCAGTGGCATCTATCTTCAGACTTGTTATCTCAGGGAATTTCCCTCTCTCCTGTTCCTCTTGATTGCCTTCAATTTGGGCTCAGTTTACTACCAGATTTTTCTTCCACCTCATAATGATGCCTCTCTTAAAGGCTGGGTTGTTGTCTTGGGGGACATTGCTTTTTGGGTTCCTGGCCTACTCTGAAATCAGAATTTCACCTCTATTTTTTAGAATCTTAGAATGCTTGGCAAGAGTTCACATCCTTGCTACACCAACACTGTGTTTTAGTTCACACATATATTTCTACAGTCGTAGCGTATATGAAAATTTAGAGAGGAACTTCAACCCATGGTCTTTTTATTGCTCTATTCTCTTTTCATTTTTGACTCTATTCAAATCATATATAACTCTGAGTCTGTCGTGTGCCAGTTGTTATCGTATTCTTTTAGATTCTTTTGCCAAAGATCATCACTTTTTCGCTACAGAATGCATCCTTCACCCTCCAGCATTTCTATGGTTGATCCAATGATGTGGTTGTCCCATAATCATTGAATATGCAATGGTGGACATTCATTTTCTTCATTTTGCTAGTTCCCAGTTTCAGACTGCACTTCTATAAGGGTGAATGCTTTTAGCCAACCTTGTAAGAATATTTTTCTCTTTGTTTACCCTCCTCTTCATCTTCCATCTTGGGATCAGTCCATTAAATTGTCAAGTGCTATTTATTGCTCCCCACTGACCAGCTCAGTTATAGGTTCCACTGCTACATCACTTATATCAAGGGGATCCCATTTCATTACCTCTTTGGAAACATCTTCTGTGACAGCCTTGAACATCCATCTTCTACAATGACATTCAATGTCTACAGCTTCACAGCAAGCTATTATTCAGTCCTCTATTAGAGAAGCTAGATTCTCTTCTCAAGTAGCTTGAGTGTTGTCACATCCTTGCAGATGCTCATCCCTGGATATTTACATATTTCATTGGGCAATCTTCAATAGCTGATGTCCTAGAAATTTTATTTCTCAAACTCCTTAACATATTGCTTCATTTTTCATGTTTTTATTTCATGATTGTAGTTTGTTGTCTGCTTCATTTCAGGTTACAGGGTTGTCCTTTCTTTTAACTTTAAATGTCAGAGAAGTCATTTTCTTTCATACCTACTCTTTCATGGGTTTTTTAGCCTTTCAGTTTATCTCTAGACATTGGGTCTTGTCTTATTATTCCTTCTTTTGAACCTTTCATAACTTCTTCAACTTATTTTCTCTCACTGGGGCATTAATGTCAGATTTTCTTCTACCTGAAGTGAGAAATATGAGAAAGTGTGTCTTTAGATGCTTCTTATTTTGTTTTTATAGAAAGACTAAACTAATAACCTGATAAGACCTTCCTCCAAAGTCTTGGTATGCATTGTTTTTCACCAGTTGTGTTACCTTCCCTGACTGACCCAGATTTTCTATGTCCTGTAAGAGCTATTTGTTCCTCTATTGCATGAATGGAATCTTTCAGAGATGTTTAAATAGGATATTCATTATACCTTATGAAGAATCTAACTTCACGTTATTTTGCTCCAAGTGAATTGGTTTGTGCAGTTGATCTATCTTATCTATCGTGATGTATCTTAAATGTGAATTGCAGGTTACTATTAAGCTTTCCAGTCTTGGTACCCATTAGAGGATATCTTACAGACCAGCATGTGGACAATTCCAAATATATTTTTACAATTATATCTCTTCAGCTTCTGGATTCAGATTGTCATCTGTGGTTATTGTCCAAGCATGATGGAATCCATAGCAAACTGCTTATTCTTCATTAAATGCTTACTTACTGTTTGTGCCCCCACCTTTGTCATGTATCATGAGTAAGGAATTTCTATTATGCTCCAAACCCCTGTTAACAATTATGTGGCTGTCAGGGTTTGAGAAGTCATTATCGTAAAAGAAGTTTCTCCTTTCTTAGGAGGAGATTCTTTGTTTATACAATTTGTTATAGCTAGTACTTCTGCAGGATCTTACCTATCCCTGTGTTTGTCCTTATCATATATGCATAATTAATAGTCTCACCTTCTAGTAAATTCTGTATTTGTCTGGACCTGTTCAGTTAGGATGTTTACATGCTATTTAAACCTCTTTGCTTGGCCTAGACACATTTCTACCCTTTGCACTGGTGTTCCATGAAAGGAAGTAGATAGATGATGCCATGAAAATGTGAAAAGCTTTTAAAAAAGATTTTAAAATATTCATGATAGGCATGTTCCCTATTTTAAAAAAAAGAGTGTCTGCAAGTAAAAAAATATAGTTGGCATATAAAGAGTAAAATTCAAGAAAAGCATTATAAAATGAAGAAATTTAGATTGACTGAAATGCTGGGAGAGTTAAAGAGTTATACAAGATCAGTAGAGTTGTTTAAATATAAAATTAAGAAATCAAAAACTATGAAAAAAAGTTGAATGAAAATGTAAAAATTAATAGTAAGGATTTCTTTAAATACATTAAGGGTAAGCAAAATATTAGGATGGAATAGGTCTTTTGAGGGGTGATACAGAAAGACTTGTATCTGATGATTATTAGATAGCTTGATATTAAATTCTACTTTTTCTTCAATTTTTACTAATGAAGATTTAAGCAATATTACAAATCTTAAATATTTGATAGACAGAAACAAGCTTGAAAAAGATGATCACATTAATTCTGAGCCTGTTAAGAAAAACTTGAGAAATTTACAGAATGATAAATCTCCTTGGTCAGATATTTACTCAAGGGTTTTGAAGGAGGTTTTGTGTGTTTGTTTGTTTTTGAATTTCGCGCAAAGCTACACGAGGGCTATCTTCGCTAGCCGTCCCTAATTTAGCAATGTAAGACTAGAGGGAAGGCAGCTAGTCATCACCACCCACCGCCAACTCTTGGGCTACTCTTTTACCAACGAATAGTGGGGTTGACAATGCCCCCATGGCTGAAAGGGCAAGCATGTTTGGTGTGATGGGGATTTAAACCCGTGACCCTCAGATTGCTAGTCGAGCGCCCTAACCACCTGGCCATGCCAGGCCATTGAAGGAGGTTAAGGATTGGATATGTAAGCCATTTGCTACTACTTTGTGTAAGTCCTTGGATAATGGGCAGGTGCTAGGAGATAGAAAATTGGCTAATGTTACTTTTCTTTTAAAGAAAGTTGATAAACATTATTTCAGTACTTATAGGCTTATTAGTCATATATCAGTGGTGGAAAAAAGTTTTTGAAAGTCTGATAAAAGATGCTTTGCAAATTCATTTAACAAAGTTTAAATTTTCATTGGATAGTCAGCATGGTTTCTTAAAAAAAAAAAATCATGTCTTAATAATATTTTGACATTCTTTGAAGAGGTTACTGCTTATGTAGATATTGGTAAGGGTGTATGTTTGGTGTATCTTGATTTTCAGAAAGCATCTGACAAGGTGCACCATAAAAAGATTTGTTAAAAAAATTAACTCTGTAGACGTGAGTGATAGGTTGGCTCATTGGATAGAAAACTGGCTGGAAGGAAAAAAGCAGAAGGTTGGTAATAAATGAAGTTCAGTCAGACTGGATCAGTGTCACAAATGGGGTACCTAGGGCTCATTCTTGGAACCATTGTTCTTTTTGATTTCCATAATAGATTATTTAATTTTGCTGATAATATTAAAGTTATGGGTGTTTCTAGCAATGAGGAGGATACTGCAGCTTTACAAAATAATTTGAATTATTTGATGAGTTGAGCAAATAAATGGCAGATGGCTTTTAATTATAATAAATGCAAGGTAATGCATGTAGGTTATCATAATTTGACTTACAAGTATAATTTGGATAGGAATAACCTTAACAGTATTATGGAAGAAAACGATCTTGGTGTCCTATTTGATCAGTCTCTTAAGCCATTCAAACAGTGTGCTTTTGCTAGTATTGACAGGACAAATAGGATTTGTTGGAAAGGGTTTAGAGGAGGGCTACTACAATAATGTTTGGGATGGAAAGGTTGTCATACAAGGACAGATTAAAGGAGAGATCCCAAAATTGTTTTCTCTTGAAAAAAAAAAAAGTTTTAGAAGGGATCTGATTGAGGTGTTTTTAGATTAAGGGAATTGGTAGTGTTAATGCATCATTTATTTTACTTTATGGTAGGACTTGGGGACACAAATATAAATTTTGGCAGCGTAGGAGTCATCTTTAGTTAAGAAAGTTTTATTTTTCTAATAGGGTGATTGGCCTTTGGATTGTATTGCCTTCAGCTATGATGGATGCAGTTAATTTAAGGGAAGGCTTGATAAACATTTGAATGATAAAGGCTGGCTTTGAGTGTTTTATTCTTATTTTAAAGTCTAGTTCAATGGGTTGGATGGCCTAGATTGCCCTTAAGTTATATGTATGTATTAAATTCTTGCCTTATAACATATATTTTTTTGTATAATCTTAATTCTCCTCCTTTTGAATGTGGGTATTCTGGCTTTCAATATTTCACAGGTAGCTTTACGTGATTTGAATTTGAAATTTTTAGGACTAAAATGGATTTGAAAAAGGTAGTTACTCTGAAGTACTTTCACACCCACTTCCCTACAATCAGGCAATATGTGGTTTTCCATCATAAGTGCAACTTAGAAATCTTCATGGGAAATCAGAGCTATTTAAGATCTGTTGACATATAGGCAATAAGTCATGTGGAAGATGGGAGAGTGGAGAATTATGGGTTAATGATGCATACACTTTATTGCATCAAGGGCATTCAGAACATTGAGTCCCACGGTTTTAGATGGCATGAGAACAAACTCAACAAGTAAAAGCTTTCAGGATTTCAGGGGTAAGAACCTGTTTGAAGTTCTTTTATATTCTAAAAAAGTAGATTACTGGGAAATATTGCCTATTGTGTTTGGTTAGTTTTCCTAGTGGCAGATTTATTGCCTTCTATTTGCCATTACTAGGGGACTCTGGTGAAAGCTTTCTTTTATAATGACACTTCTTTTAGATAGGTACCTACTTATAGGTTTCTTTAGAAATGGAAGAAGTCCTTACTCTTATCTGTTTTCTTATACACAAGGCATAATATAACTACTTTTACAATTGTTGGGCTAAAATTATAAGTTGAGCATTACATAATTAGTTTTAGATATTCACTTAAGTAATCAGTCAATGTGTGAAGATGGTCTTACGTGCTGAGTGTGGGTTTCTCTACAGCGCTATTACTACATTTACAATGTTTACTTTTGAATTTTTTTATTTACAATAAAAAAAGTTTTGGAAATATTTTTCAAATATGAATACTCACATTATTTACAATAAAAAAAAGTTTTGGAAATATTTTTCAAATATGAATACTCACATTCATGGCTTAGACACGGAGCTGCCTGATGCCCCTCATCTACCACCTCACATGTCTAACGATACTCTTGGAGGGGGGTCACCTTCAGCAGAGGACGTACAGTTTCCTATACGCAGAGAAATAGGGACTTACATGCAGTCTGATGCTTTTTCTCCTGTTGGCTCTGAGGTTGAGTTTGTGGGAGATCAAGAGCAGACTTGTGAGAATTTAAACTGTATTTTTCAAGCACCTTCCTTTGCTCAGACAACTACTCCTGAACCTCAAATAGACATTGCACCTCCTGCACCCTTTTTACAACTAGTACGCCATGTCTAATGTTTTGAGTATTTCTCCTGTGGCTTATGTATCTTCACCTTCTTTAGTTGGAGACACTAGTTTGTCTGCTTACCTGGTCCTGCCACCTTAACCAGATATTGCTGTGCATGCGAGTAGATTTGTGGATCAATTATTGGATCAGTACTTTGGGTTTCCATCGCCTAGAGAACCCTTATTTGGACTCTCAGATACTAGACCCACTACTTCCTATTTGGGGCTCTTTTAATCTTAATCAGTCTCAGTGTTCCATAATTCATCTATCACTTACAACAGTTTTTTATCATATTTTCAACTGTTGTCTGAGGCTTATCATTGATCCCCTCCTCAGATATTGGAGGATCTTATTCATTCATTGACATCCATTTGATAAGGTTATTGGCTTCTGCTTGCTCTCTCCTTGGTATCTTGGTTGCTTTGTAGCTGGGATCTTTTGGAGAGAGATGCCTTATTGGAGGGAGTTCGCCTTCCTATGTTGGCCCTTAGAAATCTCAGAAGCTCCTTCTCCCATGCAGTCTATTTTTACAGGAATTACAGACTCCATGGAGACTAAAGTAGATGTGCCCAGTCTACATTCTACACTGGGTTCTCAACTATCCCCAAATTTTTCTACAGGACAGTTTACTGCATCTCCTGATCGAGTTTCCAAACCTCCTGCTTCAACACTATGGTCCATTGGAACACAAGGATGATTTTGACCTTACCAGCAGTGATCATCCTCCAGAGTGGAGCACAGATTTCAGCATCCGTGACTACCTTAAGGGGTCAGGTCATGTGGGGTCTCATCTCAGAGGGTTCATGTCAGTATGGGAGACATTTACCATAGATCAGTGGGTTATTCAACTTCTCAGTAGCAGACTCGTCATTCAGTTCACATATCCTCCTCCTCTATCTCTCATACAGGTTGGGTTTCCACTCCTCAAGAACCCTCTTACTTCCAACCGTTGAGCACAAGCTATCCAGGATCTTCTGCACCAAGAGGCCATAGAACGCATCACCTCCTCTTGAGAGTTTTTATTCTTGGCTGTTAGTAGTACCAAAAATATGGGCAGTTGGCAACTGGTCATCATCCTTTCTCGTCTCCATCGCTTCCTCCAGCCTACTCGATTTACAATGGAGTCATTTCTTTCCCTTTGTTGACTCTTTTTACTCGGATTATGGGTGACAAAATTTGACCTTGCAGATGCGTACCTTCATATCTCGATTGCAGAGTCTTCAAGGCATTATCTCCATTTCGTGCATGATAACCAGGTTTTTCATTTTCATGTTCCATACATTTTTTTGCTGGATAGTCAAGATTGAATGGGTCTTCATCTTTCTGCTTTCCTTCCAATTTGTCTACTCTCTAAGGTTCTGGCACTGATTTGTTCCAGGTCCTGTTGAATTCATCTGGTGGCACCATATTGATTGGGTCAGCCCTGGTATCCACTCATTCAATATCTTTAGGAGTGTCAGCCTCTTCTCCTTCGTCTCTGGCCATCTCTCCTATGTCAGTGGTGAGTGTTGCTTGGCTAGATATGCTTTTACAAATCCACACCAGCTATCAATAGACTAATAACTAAATTCCTGGTAGCAGTGAGCTCTGTTGAGTTGGGATGTTCCATAAAACTGCCTTGGTACTTTCTGGGTGGTGAACAGTTGTTCTTTATTAAATATAATATACAATACTGGACTGTCACTGATGGACTGTTATGAATATTGCATAAAATGACTTTGCCCATCCATGCTAACCCCTGAATTGAACAAATCAGGGTAGTTTGCTTTTCAAAATATGGAATAGGGTTCACCTATTGCACTGTCTCTGGAGCATCATTCCTCAGGACTCCCCAACACAAGTCACTCATCTCTTCTAGTGGAGCAAGGGAGTTCTTACCATTCTCAGTTTCCAGTTGCTGGAGTGGTGGACAGAAATCTATTCCTCCTGAATGATGTTTATACTTTTTATTCCACTGAGGGAGAAGAGGGCGAAGCTAGATACACACCCACCCATAACCCTGGATGTTTTACCAGATATTGGGTGTGGAGCTGATCCAGCCTATACGGGAGCCTCCTCATAATTCCAGTTCAGAAAGACACTTCGCTATTCTTGATCATAAAAGAGGGTCCTCAATTCCTTGTAAATCCACACGCAGAGCATCAAATCCCTTCTTCCTCAATGTTCAGGTCTGATAATCTTGCCAGTCTCAAAAAAGTGAATAGAAAAGAATAACGGGGAGCTTATATATGGATCGGGTATGGAGGGCACATTGATGTAGGTGGAGAGAGTCACAAGATTAAAATCACTGTGGGCAATATAGTGGGGTTTAGAGACTGGACCAAGTGAGGTAGAATTCATACCAATGCTTCGATGGGCAACAAAGAGAACCTTTTGTCAGGATAAAGCTAATGTGTGAGAGGAAAAAAGTATTATCAGAATTACTGTGACACAGTTTTTTTTGTCTCACTTATGTAAAATTGAAAAGTTTATGTTTGTTTATTCTATTAGAAGTGTACCTATTGTGGAAAGTATGGAGCCACGATAGGTTGCTGCAACAAAAAATGTAAAAAAGTTTTTCACTTGCCATGTGGTCTCCAGAATGATTCTCTGAGCCAGTTTTTTGGAACTTTTGAGTAAGTATTTCTTTCATTATGGCAAAAGCAAGCATATAATACTACCAGAATATTACTTACAAAATGTTACTAATAAACTTGTTTTGAAATTCAGAATTAACATTTGAAAATTGTAATATTTTGATGTTCATTTTCCTTTTTTTTATTATTATTAAATTTTTTTATTTTGAAACTTACTTCTTTTTTTATCTCTGCATATTTAAGCTTCACAAACCAATAAACTTAAATACAACTATGATAAATGTTTTTCATCAATCAGTTCTTTAAGATCATTACTCAGTTACCTAAATAACCTTTGCAATGACCTTTCAGTCCATTATTTAGTTTAAGACTTTCAAAGCAAGTTGCAGTAACTTCAAACAAGTGGCTAAAATTTTCATTTTTAAAAAACTGTATACATATTATGATCGGTTTGATAGTGAAAAGAAATTTGACAAATGGATTAGCCTTCAGAAACACTGCAGATAATATTATTTTGAATTAAGTGGTACTTTTATACTAAAAAATACAATAGTTGCTTTTGTGGCAAATTATTATTGAGGTTTTTAATATATTCAAAAATTAAAGTTATGTATATATATATATCTGTAAAAACAAGTCAAGTGGCATACCTCCATGATTTCTTCAACATCTAAAATTTATTTCCAAAAAGTACAGAACTAAGTAAATAGTAAGTACTGTTAACATTCAACTGAAATTCAAATTGTGTTCTTAAGAAAAATATCCTTATTAGTCGGAGGCTGTATTCAATTCTTAATAATAATAATAATCAAATATTTAAGTCAGAAATTTAAATTTACATTGATTTAAACATAGTCTGAGCTTGGATACCTGTTACTTTAGGTACTGACATGTAGGCTGTTGTAGTAAAATACAGTACTTGGTTGTATCCAAATTCTAGTGGTACATAATAAAATAGTAGGCTAGTGAAGAGTTAATACCAATGTACTATTGTCATACCTGTTAATTTTCCCATATTAATTCCCTAAGTCTTCCATTAAAAGAAAAAGAGTTACTTTCTTATTTTTATTGCTTCGGGTTTCAGTACTTTCTGTGGTGTTCATCGACCTAGACAGAAAGTGCATATAGGGGATGGAAAAGGCTCGGAAGAATCTGATTCAATATGTTCAATATGTCTATATTCTGTGGATTGTAAAGTCTCAAATGATTTGCTTAGAGCTCCTTGTTGCAATTATTCATGGTTTCACCGGACTTGTGTTCAGGTAAGGAAGGCCACAGCAAAAATAAAACAGCATTAAATACTCCAATAGGCACTCAGTTCAATTTTGATAATTATGTAGCTCAAGAATCATGTTGGGAAGTGTAACTAATGTTGGCTTTTTGTCATAAGTTATGAAAAAAAATTACTCATACAAACACTAAATAAATTCCATATAGTCTACATGATGAATTGTGCTAGTCACCTTTTGCTGTAGCAACAAATGTTTACACATAAATTACTGTCAGGCTATGTAGGTAACAGTTATATGATTTATTGATATTTGTCAAATGTAAGTGTAAGAGAAAAACTATATGCAAGCAGACTAGAGTCAAAACTTGTATCTACGTTTATTGTATATGCACATAACTCATCTACCAGTGGTTTTTTTAAGTGTTGAAAAATGTAAAGAACTTTTTAAGTGAAGTGTTAGTGAACAAGAGATATTTACAACTTGTGTGTTAACATCTACACCATAACATGTTACTGTAGGTACAATGCTGCTTCATAACAGATAATTGGGGTGATATTATTTTCTTACTGTATATATATATGTATATATACTTACTATAATAGACATAGCGTGTATATATGTATTTATCTGTGTATGTATGTATGTATATGACCAATATGTGCAACAATCATTTTTTTATCACAGAACACAATTTAAATAAAAGTACCTCTCCTCATGACTGGAACATGACTTTCACTAGGACTGTACACGAGGGTTTGATTATATCTTTATTGATGTAATTTGTAAATATAGTACTTAAAAAATGGAGTTATTAAAAAAAATGTTATTTTTTAAATAAAGGGTACCACTTTTAATATATAAAAGCATTACAGTTTATATCAGGGCAATCTGAACGCGTTTCCCGTGCAGTACTTCCCAGAAAAATCCTTTTTTTTAAAATGTTCGCTTTTTCAAAACAATTTTCAATCAGGTATGAATACTATGATTAGTAATTGCTAGCACAAACAGCCACCTGGCATTTCTGCTAGTCTGTGTAATTTCTTTGTTTAATGCAGTTCTTCTCAAGTTTACAGATCTTAGTTTCTTTACTGTAAACTTTTCCTAATGAATACCCATTTCCATATGTTTCAGAGGTTAGCCCTGAATGCAGGATACTTCTTCAAGTGTCCACTGTGTAACAACAAAGATTTGTTTAATATGGAAATGCTGAAATATGGTATACACATACCAGAACAGTAAGTGTGAAATTTATAGTATGTTTTGTTTCCATTTGTTTCTGGAGAATTCACATTAAGAACAGGACTGTGAATTAAGGCATAACATCTTTGTACTTTGTTTTTACTCATGTAATATAAAATTGTATTAAGACTTTCAGCATTTAGGCTTGTTTTCTCTACTTTTAGATTTATAGATGTGTGTGTAAATCATATTTATTTAATATTAATTAAAAAAACAGCAACATTATACCAAATATTTCATCACCTAAAGCCAACTTCGTTTATCGTATCTTTGATGTAACTGGACTACAGATAAATAATATATCTATAAATTGTTGTCCCTGGCTGCTCATGTACAGCTTTATTTACCATATATGACAATAATATGCATCTTACTGTTATATTTCTAACAGTTTTAACATTTTGATATCTGCCTCAAATTGTAGAGTTTGGCTGTACAAACAACAAAGAAACAAGTTTAAATCATGCTGATTACATCTTTGGTTTTAATGTTATTTTTTGTTTTCAATTACTGTAAGATAATATTTTTCATATTACTGTATGATTTTCAACCGTTTTCCTTTACAATTGAAATTCATTTTTATAAAGGCCACTAAAATTCTTTATTAGTTGTTTTTATTTTCATATCCATTGAAGTATTTTTCATAAGTTTTTTATTTAAATCTATCATAACTCAGTCCTAAAAAGGAAATGGTTCAAGTTTTTTTTTCTTAATTAATAGGGATGCATCTTGGGAATTAGAACAAAATGCTTTCCAAGATCTCTTAGAAAGGTATTGCCACTGTGATGCAATACATTGCATTTGCCCAAATGGAAGAAATTTCAGCTCAAAAGGAAGGTAAAAAAAATTTTGTGCAAAAACAGCTTTGCGGCAAAGAAAACGTATTGAAATTTAATTAGAATTGAATGTCAATACTAGAGGATCTTTTTGTGTATAATTTTTTAAGGATGAAACTTGTAGTTTTATTACAACATGTTTGCTTTTTATATTAAAAGATGGCACACAAGCAGGGTTCTACAATTTAAAAGAAAATTCATTAGGGCAATAAATTAGGAAAGAAATTAAGTTGCCCGCATTAAAGATAAGTTTGTCCAAACTTACTTGCACATGAGTGAAACTTAGAAGTGCTAAGTTATAACCCTTGGAAAGTATTTTTATTATATGTTTCTGTAAACTTTGGATTTTTGTTTTAGTTTACAACTCTATAGTCCCTCAGTGGATCAGCTGCTATAATCCTGGGTTTGATTCCCTTTGGTGGACAGAGCACAGATAGCCTGTTGTGTAGCTTTGTGCTAAAAAAAACAACACTTCTATTACCTCTGTTACCTTTATATTACAGGAAAATTATGCTTACAACTTTATTTACATATTCAAAGTATGTCCTGTTGGTGGGTAAGAAAGCTGACTGATTTTTGATTACCTTCTCGAGCATATACCATAATACTAGATCTGAAAGTATGTGAATAATTATAAACTTAGATAACCCTGAAGTGTAGGAAGTTTATTTGTTTGTTTTTTTAATTATGCAGTATGAACAATAAAATAGTCACATAATACACAAATTACAAAATATGAATAGTCCCAGAAAAAGTCATGGCTGGTTATTAACCCATAAATACTCACTTAATTTTTACATGCACTTAAGATCATGTTGGATCCTTTCAGAAATCAAGTAGCCATTAAGTAAATATATATCCATGTAGTGTTAAATTCTGTTTATTTCAAACACAAATCAGCTCAAGTATAGATTTTTTTCAAAATTAAATTTATTTTACTTACTTAAAAAAGTGTTTTGGAATACAGAGTTGGAGTATTTGTTTGAAAATCGTTTGTCAGTATTTGAACAAGATTGTACGAATTTATCAAAGTTTACTCTTGAGAATTCTACTGTACTCATCAAAGTGTGACATTTTCTATAGTGTTTGTTTTAAATGTTTCTATAACTTATTTGTCCTATGAAAACCATGGTAATCAGGCTGTATATCTTTTTGAAAAATATTTAACTTTATCTTGTTGTTCATATGATGATGCCACAAACAAATATGTCAATGTCAATTTTACACAAAATATTCTCTTCCTGCATTAAAAACATTAATATTACGTTAACTAATCTCAATCTTCAAAGCTTATATATATATATATTCATGTAGCACAGCTCTGTTATCTGCATGTAAAATACCTCTATAATAAAATTGACTGTGGATTCATTACGTACACTTGTTAGATGAAAAATGTTGTACCAAGTTTATGTATAACTGTTGGTCTCATACATATTTTTTACATACCTTAAGAAAGTAATTTTCAAAAATAAACACAGTTTTCTGCTGCATGTGATAATGATTTGTTGGATCTGAGTGATAGTCTTAGATATTGGTCATGACGTGTATTGAGAGATAACAATCAATGACATTTCTCATTATGGTGTCCCTTGGTGGGTCAGTATTAAGTTTTCGGAATTACAACACTAAACTCCAGGGCCTAATTCCCCACATTGGACAGAGCACAGATAGGCCACTGCATAGCTTTGCTCCAAAAACACAAACTTATGGTAATTTCTTAGTTTTTATAAAAAAATGTTTCTAGTATCACAATAGTATATTATTATAGTACTATTTGTGCAGGTTCTTGCCCGTTATCTTACAGTATAAGTGTCTTATTATATTTCTTATTATTTTTGCAAGTTTCTGTTTTGTTTTCATGGTGAACTACAGTTGATGCTGTTACTTTTGTCAGTAGTTGTTAATGAATGTGACAGGTTTTAATTTTTTTCAGTGAATGGGAGATTATGGTTTGTAGTTCATGTGGATCACAAGGCTGCCATGTTCTCTGTAAAGAACCTTCAACTCAACCATTTTCCTGGATGTGTTCTGGATGTCTAACTGTCACTTGGAAATGTAAAAAAAAAAACATTACTGTTACTATTAAGTATTATTTAAGTAATCCCTATCTTTTTACATGTAGGGCAGCAAACAAATATAGATTGAAGAAAATGAACTCAGAGACAAAAAATTCTTAACATGCACTGTTAGGCATTTGCACTAAGTTTTACATGCTCAACATGATATTGTACATACCCGCAGTATGAAACTAAATAACAAACAAAAAAAACATTAGCTTCACCCTACTTTAACACTATGAGCATCCTTTACTGTGCATGTCATGAGGTTTTAGTGAGTTACATTTACAATTTAAGTAAACTACTTTCTTATCATGGTATATGAATAAATTTGACCTAAAAACATAGCTAATAATCCAAATTTTAATCATATATATATATAAGCTTTAGGTTCTTAATTTTATATGGTAATATTGAATAAAAAATCCTGAATTTCCCCTAGTAGGAGAATTGTGACATATTTTCTCTTGGCATCCCTTCTTCTGTAATTTATTTACCACCCCTCGAAAAAGTACAAAATTTAACATAAATTACTCATTATAATATTTTGATTGCTCAAGAAAAGCATAACTTTTATAGCCTTCAACCTTATTTAGTTTCAGAGCCATAAAACAGAACGTTAGTCCCCTCTTGCCACACTCACCTGTCACATCCTCTCTTTTGGAAATTGCCAATAGTTCTATCTGATATTTAATACTATATTATTTATAACCAATAGAAAGCCAAGGTTTTAACCTATCAAAGGACGTATTATACATTGTTTTCTGTACAGAGAATTGTCTATATCACTTCCAGTTCAAACTTTATTCCCACAGGAAACACTTCGATGAGTTCAGCAAAATTTTTAACAGCACTTCTTGCACAGTTAGAAAGCCAAAAAAAATTGTGATAGTTATGGGACAATGTCTGCTTTTTGCATGTTAATATTCTGTGTTTTTGGTGCATTACTTAAATAAATAAAAAAATATTTTTAACAGCTCTTCTTGCACAGTTAGAAAGCCAAAAAAATTGTGATAGATATGGGACAATGTCTGCTTTTTGCATGTTAATATTCTGTTTTTGGTGCAATACTTAAATAAATAAAAAATTATTTAGTGCAGTAGTACCATTAGTATAAAAAAGTAGAGTTAAGTGTCATTGACAGTCAACAGCAAAAAAAAAAAGGAGAGAACCAGGG